CGGCTCAATGACTTCTATGACTGTGCTGCTGCACTCCATCCCGGGGAACAGAAAAAATGAAGTCACCCCATCTCTGGAAAATAAAATTAGGATGCACCTGAAATCAGTTCTGACTCTGATCTCTAAATCTTAATCCATTTAACTATGCATTTCCTGCCATCCAACTTATTTTCCCTGTGTCAGTGTTGGAGGGGTGGCGGTGGTAGTGGCCAGAGGACAGTGTGTGTGTGTGTTTGTTAGGAGGGGGAAGAAATACTATAGACATTAAAAAATCATGTAGAACTGTAGTTTCAAATTATTTCTAGTAGAGGACACCTTTCCTTTTTTGTATTGTCTTTCATAGAATACCCGTATTTACATAGTGTTAACGGCTAATAAAATGTATGTATGGAAGACAGTCCAAAGAAGCATTTTTCTTTTTTTTTTTTTTGAGACAGAGTCTCACTTTGTCAACTGTGCTGGAGTGCAGTGGTGCAATCTTTGTTCACTGCAACCTCTGTCTCCCGAGCCCAAGCAATTCTGCCTCAGCCTCCCGATCAGCTGGGATTACAGGTATGTGCCACCACGCCCGGCTAATTTTGTATTTTTAGTAGAGACGGGGTTTTACCGTGTTGGCCAGGCTGGTCTCGAACTCCTGACCTCAGGTGATCCGCCCACCTCGGCCTCCCAAAATGTTGGATTACAGGCATGAGCCACTGTGTGCGGCCCTCCTAAGGTGCATTTCACCAAGTCCCAAGGCTCCCTTCCTCTGGGACTGTCTTGCTAGTTCATTGGGCTCCTTGCTCTGAGGCTGGTGGCAACTGGATTTCAGGACACAGGCTGGCCACACAGGGAGCTGTATGGCAGATCTTCCAACTGGGGCTCCCCTCAGGCCCCACACTGGGACGGCGGTGGGTTAGGAGGCTTCAGGCACAGGAAGGGTAGGAGGACAATGAGGACGGTGGTTGATACTATAAAGGATGAGTATGGTTTTCACCACAGAAAACCACACAGTGTCCTAATTCACATCAATTCTGTACCTTGCAGGCCTGTCTTTAGCCGCTAAAGGCTGTCAGTCTTTGCTGATTTGCAGAAAGTTTCCAGCTCAAGATGAGGCTTTCAATTCCTGTGTGAACTAGGCAAACAGGTCAGGGACACCTGTGTGGAGGGTCCCTGTCTCTGGGGAGGGTACATCATTCATGGTTTTCCTCTGAAGGAGCTGCTGCTTGTGTGGTGGGTTCTGCTTTAAGAGCTGGACTTTGCAAGTGCCCCCATGGCAGGGAACCAAAATTCAGAGCTCCCCTTTCACTGTTCAACAAAAGAAGGCTCTTCCTGTGTCTGGTGGGACCCCTGAAATATGAGTCATCCCACTCCTGACCCACTCCCAGTAGTTTTCAGCTGCTCCTTGCTTTGGTTTCAGAATATCCCTTTGACCTTTTCTCTTCCTTCTTATCACTGTCCTATGACCCGGAGTTTCCCACGTTCTGCCTCCAGTGCTTCATTGCTTTAAACGACTCACAGCCCCTTGCTCCTTTACTGTAAGTGATCTAAGTCGAGCTGGGTTAGCAGGGCCACTTGCTGTGTAGCTAGGGGACGTCCAACGCTGCGGCCCAGCTGGGTTAGCTGCTCTAGGGGACTCCGGTCTTCCTCACCCCACCAGGTCCCCCAAAGAGCAAACGCACTCCACGTTTCTTTTCATTCATCACCTTTTCCTCAACAACAGCAGCTGACATTTGTTAGGCACGTACCCTCTTTCCAGCCCATGTGTTCCTGAGCTTAACCCTGACTGCAGCCCGGTGCAGGTAGGTGCTTCAATAAGCCCCATTCGTGACGTAAGAAAATCGACTCTTGGCCAAGGTCCCCCATGTAGAAGGTGGTGGAGCTGGGGCAGATTCCAGCCCAGGAGCCTGGCTCTTGGCATGAGCAGTCTACCGTAGCACCAGTTCTGTGGTTCTTCCGTCTGAGAAGCCTGCATTGAACTTTTTTTAAAGTTGTATTTTGTGTTTAGTGGAAGTGCCCAGTCCTCGCACTCAGAGTTCCCATGGAGCCCAGTGTGGCAGTGGTGCACAGCTGTGGTCCCAGCTACTCGGAAGGTTGTCGTGGTTGAGCCTAGTGAGGTGTGGCATCATTGCACTCCATTGAACTCACTGGGTCGCAGCAAGACCCTGTCTCAAAAAAAAATTTTTTTTAAATATGGTTTCATGGTGCCTCAAGGCTCTTCTGCCTGTAGGACTGACTGCTGTGCAGGACTCTGGTCCTGGGTTTAGATGAACAGCAGGAAGCCTCTTGTTTCCATGGATCCACACAGCTGCAGCTTCCTAGCCAAGGAACCTCAGGGCAGTACAATGTTCCATTCCTGGTTGATGCTCCACTGGGTGCTGCGTGGGCCTCAGCTTACTTGAGTTTTAGCTGTATGTTTGCAAAAGTGATGCTTAATGAACAACTCTAGAAATAAGGTAGAGAGACTCAGGAAACAGGGTTTTTAAGTTGCTCAAACATCTCTCCATAGATTATCACATTTACTCCTTGGGCAGGTTTTTAAATTTATTTAATTTTGTTTTTAAGACAGTATTGTTCTGTCTCCCGGCTGGAGTGCAGTGGCGTGATCTCAGCTCACTGCAACCTCCACCTCCCAGGTTCAAGTGATTCTCCTGCCTTAGCCTCCCCAGTAGCTAGGATTACAGGCACATGACACCACGCCTGGCTGGGCAGGTCTTTTTATTATTAGCCCCATTAGAACTTTTTTTAATTGAGATGAAATTCACGTAACATAAAGTAATGATTTTAAAGCATGAACAATCCAGTGGCACTTAGTACATTCACAAGGTTGTGCAACCTTCTCTCTCTAGTTCTAAAACATTTCATCATCCCCAGAGAACGCCCCATGCCCGTTAAGCAGTCACTTCTTATTCTCCTTTCCCCCAGCCCCTGGCAACCACCAGCTGTGTTCTGTCTCTGTGGATTTATCTGTTCTGTATGTCATATAAATGGAATCACACAATATGTCATCACATATGGTGTGTGGCCTTTTGTGTCTGTTTTTAGCATTTAGCATGTTTTTGAGATTCATCCATGTTGTAGCAAGTGTCAGAATTTGCCTCCTTTTTTATGGCTGGGTAATATTCTGTTGTACACTGGGCCACATTTTGTTTATTCATTCATTGATGGGTGCTTGGATTGTTTCCGCTTTTGGCTCTTGTGGGTAATTCTGCCTTGAACATTTGTGCACAACTATCTGTTTTGGGTACTTGTTTTTAATTCTTTTGGGTATATGACTAGGAGTGGAATTGGTGGCTCGTAGGGTAATTCTCCATTGACCTTTGAGGATGTATTAGCCTCATTTTAAAAGCAAGGGGTCTGAGGCTCAAAATAAATTATGATTTGTCTAAAGTCCCATGAGAAGTGTATGAGGGGCCTGGTGTGGTGGCTTATGACTGTAGTAATCCCAGCACATTGGGAGACTGAGGCAGGCAGATCATCTGAGGTTAGGAGTTTGAGAACAGCCTGGCCAACATGGTAAACCCTGTCTTTACAAAAAATAGAAAAATTAGCCGGGCATGGTGGTGGAGGCTTGTAATCCCAGCTACTGGGGAGGCTGCGGCAAGAGAATCGATTGACCTCGGGAGGTGGAGGCTGCAGTGAGCTGAGATGATACCACTGCCCTCCAGCCTGGGTAACAGAGCAAGACTCCATCTCAAAAAAAAAGTATATGACAGAGCCATTGATGAGGAGCTAGAGTTCACACTACCTTCATTCAAGGGTCCTGGCTGCCAGGAGCAGCATTCATTCACTCATCAAACATCTTGTGAGGGCCAGGGCTGCCTTTGTGGCAGATTTAACCATAGCTCTCAGAAAGGAGCTTCCTAATGCAGTCACTCCAGGAGCAAATAAAACAAGGGGGCTATTTTAAATCATAAATCAACACGACTGGCTCACACATAAATTCCATTAAGCCAACACGCTGCTGAGTCAGGCGTCTTCTGTCTTGATGCATATTTTAACATCGGGGTGGGCATTTCAGCTGATTCTCCCACAGTAACGTCCATTCCCCTTAGTTCTAATTGCCTGCCACCTTCTGCATTTCTTGTTCGACCCTGGGCGTGAGGAAGTACTGGCTTGGTCCTGAATCACTGTCGGGATTGGGATCCGTGAATGTCACTGCAGAAAGAGAGTTTAAGGGGTTAAATGCCAGGGCCAAGAGAGAGTAAGGTCCAGGTTTCAGCTCTGGCTTAACCGGGAGATGGGGGAGATTAAGAGGAAGTGGGGGAGGGGGCAGGGTTTAGTTTGATAATCCTATTTTGCAATGGTTTCTGGGGGGATTTTACGATGAAGAGGTAAATTCTAGGGTCTGCTGTCGACTGTTCCCTGCAGCCTGGCACACTTTGGGTGCAGCGAGGGGACATCCAAAGGCTGTAGCCGAGCTGGGTTAGAAAACACGCTCCCACCCGCCCTCCACTCCCCTGCCTGGCCCCGCTGACCTGATTAATCAGAGCCCTGCAAAGCCCACTGAGGAGGGCTCCCTGGCTAATCTCATCTCCGCACCCACGCGGGGACAGACACCTCCGCTCGGCCAATGAGACGCAATCCTGCAGGCTCGACCGAGCGGTGGAAAATTCCATGCGCTCGGCGCTGCCCTCGGTGGCGGCCCCTGGCGGGATCGCGCGTTCCGAATGCCGCAGCCTGGGGCCGCCGAGCGGCCACCAGCTGGGAAAGAGCAGAGCGAAACCGCTCCGGGGTCCAGGCGTTTTGCCACGAGTCGCCCTGCGACAAGTTGGGGTCTCCCTTGTTCTCCCACCTCTCTGCACCAGAAGCTCTTGAAGCAAATCAAAGAAAGCAGGCGATGCTTGCATCAATGCGGAGTGAGGAATGGAGCTGGGGGACAAATGGTGACAGTCCCCCTCCCTCCTTCCCTCCGCACGCGCGCGCGTGTGTTTGTGTGTGTGTGTGTGTGTGTGTGTGAGAGAGAGAGAGAGCGCAGTCCTCCACCCCCACGCTTGCCCACCCAAGCTATAAATCCTGCCTGTAATTGTCCCCCTGCCTCCACCAGGCTTTCCACCCAGAAATTGTGGGGGAGAATGAAGGAGACACCTTTCTAGATCAATCCATCTATGAACTATGGTGTCCTCTTAGAAGCGGCCGGTGGATCCTGGAGAGCAAAGGGTGATGAGTTCGCAAACGTGTGCGAAGGAGTCCAAAGCAATGAAGCAAGACCGGTGCCATGATTCAGAGACGCACAGAAAATTCCAGGACCACCGAGGAGGGACACGTGGCGCATTCTCTCAGTGCGGGGGAGGAGGGGATGGAGGCGAGAGGGAGGACAGGACTAGCCAGGCAGGGAAGGGGGAGGGCCCCGAGCTTGCGTTCCAGTCCCCGGAGCTAGGGCCGCAGCTTTTCCGCGAGGTTGGGCTGTTAGGAAATTCTTTCTTAACTCTGTGTGAATTAGGGCAAAACCTCCCTGTTATTTCAGGGGATCCAGGTCTGTTTCTGCTCCTTGGAAATGTGAAAGAACCTGGGGAACGCAGTCCAAAATGCAGAATGCAACCTGGTGCATGGCGCTCAGCTCGACGAGACTTGCAATGGCTTCTTCCGCCAGCTGCATTGGACAGGAGTGGGGAACCGTGGGCCCCAAGCTATCTGTGAGGAGGGAGGAGAAAGAAAGGGGAAAATACGGGGCTCTTCTTAAAGCAAAGTAGAAAGCTTCAGCAAGAATTCAGGGAACAGAAGGCTGAAGCCCTGAGGTTAAGTCCAAAGCCCGGAGGTTTAGTAAACAAAGCCCAGCACAGCGACCCGAAACCTGCACGCTCCGGTTCTGCTAGTGACCAGTTGAAGGTCCTGGGGAAATCTCACTCCTCAGAGTCTTCATTTTTGTCTCGGAAAAATCAAGGTCATAACCATTTCCGCCCCATCTAATCAAGTAAGGTTTTTGGAACTACATTCTATGAAACTGTAAAGAAATATAGGGAAGTGTTTTTAATCCATGTGCATAAGCAATGTAAAATCTATGTGGTTTTACTTCAATGAACTTCAAGAAAGAGCCCCAGCTAAATTAATCAATCAATGCATGTATCCAGTAAATACTTACTGAGCACCTTCTAAATGGCAGGCACAGTTCTTTGCCTGGGGGATGCAGAGCTGAACAAAACACAAAAAGCCTTGGTCTTAGGAAGCTTAGATTGGAGGAGACAGGTAATAAAATAAATAGGAAAAATCATTGAGTTTTTAGGCGGTGGTAAATGATACAGAGAAAAATAAAGCAGAAAAGGGGGATGGAGAATGGGGGGAAGGAGGAGAAGGGAGAGTGCTTTAGAATAGGGTGACAAGGAGGCCTCGTAGAGAAGGTGTTCTTTGAGTGGAGCCCTGACAGGGAGATGAGGGGGTGAGCTCCATGGATTTCTAAGGGAAGAACATTCCAGAAGTGGGCAGCCAGCAAGTGCAGTGGGTCTGAGGGGAGACGGTGGGATGGTCTTTCCCATTGGAGGAACAGGAAGGCCGGCACTGTCCCTGGAGGGTTGTGAGTGACAGGGTCATAGGTTGAAGGGGGCAGGTTCAGATAGAGTCTGTAGGGCCTTGAAGGTGACCTGAAGGGCCAACTTTTGCAGTGAGCGTTCCTGATGGCTGCGGGGCACGGCTGAAGCTCCGCCTTGGGTCTTACCTGAACATAAGGCGACTCCATTATTAGCTTGGATCCTGGCAGGCAACCAATGAGCATTTACTGCACGGCTGGCTGCGTGTTCTCGGGAGCTCGCTGAATATCAGGAGATAAAATACGGATCCATAGCTCTGAGGAGGCCACAGTCTTGCCGTGAATAAAATTTAGCTGCAAAAAGCAGTTAGTGACCAAGGCAAGACTGTATGTGCCACTCGCTGCGTTGTGTGGAACGCCTGGAAGCGTGAGGAGGAGTTCTGGGAACCCTAGGGGCCCCCAGGATTGTGCTGGGATCATGGTAGGTGCTCAATGATTGCGGACAGACAGAGTGATTCTGAGTGGCTTATGCAGGGAGCTCTTTGTGGCTAATTAACTGCTTTTCCTACCCAGGCCCAGGTGGCCAGCGGCCCCGTGCAGCGGCGCACGTGCTGGTCAGTGTAGCCAGCGTACACCTGGGGCTGCTGCAGATGGTTCTCCAGCCACAGGGCGATAAAAGCCTCCCGAAGAAGTAAATGACCCTGCTGGTTGCTGTATGGAATGTTTCCCCCAGGGAAATTAAAAATGGAATCCAGCATCCAGGCTTCAGCCTCACTTCTTTAACAGGCCTGTCAAGATCCTGGAGCCAGGGCCTGGGGGCAGCTGCTTCCTGCTGGAGAGGCCAGTTTCTTTCCCGGCCTCTGACCCTTCTCAGTTTTGTGATCCTGCTTGAGACCTCTCAACTCTCACCAGGGGAGGTGCGAAGGGTGATCTGGGATAGAGAAACAACAGGAAGTCAGTTCAGAAACTCCCACAATGCCTTGTCACCCAGAATCCTTTGCAGAGCCGGCTGGCTGGTCCTGGGCTCCCTCTCAGCCGCTCTGGAATGCGGCAATGGTGGGCTCCGTTGGGGGCCATCTAGAAGGGCCCTGCCCCTGGCATCTGCCTCCTCACTGGAGAAGACAGAGGCTATGTCCCAGCCCTGTGCTTCCAGCTCTGGAACTGCCCTTGATTTCACTGGACAGGCCTGAGCAAGTCATGTAACCTTCGGCGACTCAGCTGCGCCCACCCCAGGCTCCATGAAACCAAGACAACCTCACGTGCTCAGTTCTCAGCTCTGCGGGAGCCAGGCTGCTCTGGGGTAAGCAGAGGGAGAGAGGGGGATATTGTCCTCTGCTTCCTTCACATAGCTGAACATTTTATTTATTTAACTTTTTGGATAAGTAATGTATTGTATGGTTAAAAAAAATCAAGTATAAGATGTTACACAGTGAAAAGTGTCCTTTCCCATCCACCCAATTCTTTTCTTTTCTTTTCTTTTTTTGAGACCAAGTCTCGTTCCGTCACCCAGGTCGGAGTGCAGTAGCGCAATCCCGGCTCACTGCAACCTCCACCTCCCAGGTTCCAGCAGTTCTCTTGCCTCAGCCTCCCCAGTAGCTGGGATTACAGGCACGTGCCACCACGCCCGGGCAATTTTTGTGTTTTCAGTAGAGACGGGGTTTCACAATATTAGCCAGGCTGGTTTTGAAACCTGACCTCAGGTGATCTACCCTCCTTGGGCTTCCAAAGTGCTGGAATTACAGGGATGAGCCTCCACGCCCAGCCCCCATCTGTCCAATTCTTATCCCCCACCCTAAAGACATAGCCACTGTTACTACTTTGTTGTGTATCCTTCCAGAGTTTTGTGGGATTTTGCACATACAAGCAAATAGAATATATATTCTTTCCCACTCCCAACTCTTTCTACTTGATTCGTAAAACACAATGCAGTGTTCCTTACCTCGATGTTTTCAGTTGACGGTGCATCTTAGAGAGCTTTTCATCATAGCACATAAACCATTTCCTCATTTTTCTTTACTAATGTTTGCTGTCTAAAATGTGCCCAAACAATCTCCTGTTTGGGAGACATTTAAGTTGTTCGCAATCTTTTGCTTTCAAACAATGCGCTGTGGATAACTGAAATTCTTTGTTCAGCACACAAGTATGTTTATGCACAAGGTAAATTCCTAGAAGTGGAACTGTTGAGTTAAAGGGTAAATGCATCTCTAATGTGGACAGATGTTGCCAAATTACCCTCTACAGGGGGTATGTCAATTTATCCTTTCAGCAGCAATGTATCAGAGAGAGTGCCTATGTTTCAAAGCTTACCGACAAACTTGGCTTTTCAACTTTTGGATTTTTGCTATTCAATAAATTTTTAAAAACCAGTATGCTTTTAATTTGTATGTTTCTCTTTGTGACTGATATTGAGCCTATTTTTACATGTTTAAGAACCATGTATGTTTCCTGAAACTCTCAATATCCATGCCCATTTTTCTGTTGGGTTGTTTGCCTTTTGATTCAGTTTGCAGGAGCTCATTATATACAAGGAAAATTAATCCTTCGTGATATGAGTTACACGTCTTTCTCATTCTGTCATTGATTACTGATTTTGCTTAGGTTTTCTTTTTAATTGCCTTTGGCTATGCAAAAGTTTTTGGTTTTCATGCAGTTGAAATTGTTCGCCATTTATTTCATTGTTTCTTTTTTTTTTTTTTTTTTTGAGACGGAGTTTCACTCTTGTTACCCAGGCTGGAGTGCAATGGCGCGATCTCGGCTCACCGCAACCTCCGCCTCCTGGGTTCAGGCAATTCTCCTGCCTCAGCCTCCTGAGTAGCTGGGATTACAGGCACACGCCACCGTGCCCAGCTAATTTTTTGTAATTTTTAGTAGAGACGGGGTTTCACCATGTTGACCAGGATGGTCTCGATCTGCCGACCTCGTGATCCACCCGCCTTGGCCTCCCAAAATGCTGGGATTACAGGCTTGAGCCACCGCGACCGGCCTTATTTCATTGTTTCTAAATTTTGAGTTGTAGTCAGCAAGGCCTTCCTCATTCTCCATTTTTGTTTCAGTATTATGTTTTTTCTTTGTACATTTAAATCTTTGACACAGTCAGAATGTATTCTACTATAAATGCGAAGTCTGTATTCAAAATCCAGAAGTGGTGGTTATAGCTCCACTTATTGAATAATCTGTCTTTTCCCCATATAGTTGAAGTGCCACCTTAATTCTAAACAAAATCATTGCCTGATTTGAATATTTTTCAGGATTTCAATTCTGTGCCATATGTCCATCTGATAAGTCATATGCCACTACCGTAATGTTTTAATTATTGAAGATTTGAAATATATTTTAATATATGGTATAACTATTCCTCATTTATTTTATCAGAAATATAGCTAGTCTGTTCTTATTTTTCCATGTACAATTTAGAATCATCTTGCATAGATAAAAATTTTGTTTAGAATTTTACTGGGATAACATTTGTATATTAACATTTATAAGTGAAGGGAAATTGACAACCCTATGAAGCTAAGTCTTCCTTTCTAAGAACATGATAGGGATTTCAATTTATTCAACTCTTTTTGTTGTTGTGCTGAGTGTTTAAAAGGTTTCTTAATGTCAGTTTGCATGTTTCTTTTAAATCTATTTTTAAAATATTTTATCTTTGGTACTGCTTTTTTAAATGAAGTCTTTTCTCTCATATTGTCTAACTGAATTTATTTGTATTATATAAACAAAAGCGACTGATTTCTGTTAATTTTATATATCCTACTATTTTATTGAAGTTTCTTCATGATTTCATAGTTTTTTTTTCACTTATTCCTCTTTTTTTTTGAAGGCATAAAACCAAATCATCTGCAAATAGTGATAGTTTTACCTCCTTCTATCCATTTTTTATACTTTTGATTTTGTTCTTTTTCTAATTGTGTTGGCTAACATCTCAAGTATAAAATTAAATACCAGCATGATGGTGAGAAAATACTTGTCTCATTTCTGACTTAAGGGTAAAAGTTTTTGGTATTTCTTGATTAAGCATACTTTTTGTTTTTGACATTGAGAAACACCCCCCCAACACAAACAAACAATGTTTAGGGGTCTCTATGTTATTGACTATGAAAAATCGAGAATGGATTGTTAAATGTGTTAAGTTCTGTTTGCACATGTACAGGGGTGAATCCATGGTTTTCTCCTTAGAATTATCATCATTTGAATTGGATTTTTAAACACTGAACCATCTTTCTCTTCCTGAAATAAGGCCATTTGGTCAAGGTGAATGTTATTGTTTCATTTGCTGATGAATGCAGTTGGCTGATATATTTGCTAATGTTTTATTGATAAAAGTGCAGAAATCTTTAATTTATACAAAGTATAGAGATATGAGGCATACAAATATATGAATTTATACATATGCATGCATGTGTTTATATATGTAATATATACATCAGAATTTGCATATTAAAAAGTATAATGAAAAGCTAACAGATGAGGAAAATGGAACAGAAAAATACATGATCAATCCTGAAAAAGGCAGAAAACAAGAATCAAAGGAGTAGAACAGACGAGATAAATAGAAAATAAATACCAACATGGTAGGACTTAATGCACTTGTATCAGTAACTAAATATAAACAGGTTTTTGGATTAAATGAAAAGAATTGAGACTCGTGTATATTACAGTGAATACATACTAAATATAAGGATAAAGTTAGGATGAAAACAAAAGGATGAAAAACTTGTACCATGCAATACTGACCCAAATAAATTAGGTGTGGCTATGTTAATATCAGAAAACTAGAGATTAGGGCAAGAAGTATTACTAGAGAGAAAAAGAGACACTTTCTTATAATAAAATGATCAATTCAACATGAATACCTAAAAACCAAAACTTATATGCATCTAATAACATCATTCAAAATATGAATCAACAAAATGAAGGGAAGAACAAAGCATCAGTCATGGTTGAGGATTAATCATGTATCTTTCCATTCTGTGTTCTTATTTATTAGCTTTTTAATTGTACTTTGTGTGATTTCTATAAAGATTTCATTATGTATCCTTAAGTCCGTTACTCCTTCCCACACTTGGTGACCCCGCCCAAATCTCATGTTGAACTGTAACTCCTAGTGTTGAAGGTGAGACGTGGTGGGAGGTGACTGGATCATGGGGGTGGAGTTCTCATGAATGGTTTAGCACCATCCCCTCTTGGTACTATAGTGAGTGAGTTCTTACCAGATTTTGTTATTTAAAATGTGTGACACCTTCACCCTCTCTCTCTTCCTCCTGCTGTGGCCATGTAAGATGTGTCTGTTTCCCCTTCACTTTCTGCCATGATTATAAATTTCTTGAGGTCTCCCCAGAAGCTGATGCTGTCACGCTTCCCATATAGCCTGCAGAACCATGAGCCAATTAAATCTCTTTTCTTTATAAATTACCCAGTCTTAGGTATTTATTTAAAGCAGTTGAGACTGGTGCACTTGGGGTATTGTCATTGTATAATTTATCTTGACATGTGTCATAAAGTTTGTAAGACATTATTGTCTTTTTTGCTTCAAACAGAAAATATTTTTTAGTATTTTTCTACATATTTATTCTTTTCAGTGCTATGTCTTCCTTCCTCAATTTCTGTGCTTCTATCTGGAAACACTTTTTCTTCAGTTTGAGAAAAAATGTTCTATAGTATTTCATTTAGTGCTTCTCCACTGAGGATGAGTTTTCTCAGCTTTTACCCCTCCTGTATTTATCTTTATTTTGCCTTCAGATCTAAAGAACCTTTAGCTGGATATAGCACCCTAACTTGATATTTTATTTTAACACTGTAAAGATATAATTCCATTGTCTTCTGGCTGTTGAAAAAGTCAACCATCAGTCTTAACTATTGCTATCTTCAAGTTAATATACTTTTTTTTTTGAGACAAGGTCTTGCTCTGTCACCCAGGCTGGAGTGCAGTTGTACAAT